AAAATAGCTTAATTCAGAAACGATTTAAGTTTAAAATTGAAACGATATTTTCACTTTCATGATAAATTTTATTCCTTTGGCTCTTAGCTAGGTGATCCCACACTATGTTTTACTTTAGGCTTATTATACCAACACTCACTACACTTATAAAATTTCACAGCACACACCCCACTTCACAGCCCCCTTGCACCTCCATCACTAAAATCATAATAAGCAGACAGTAATCAAACTATTTTATCTGGATAAATGCATTTTGGTTTTTATGACTCCTCCTCCTATTTAGAGAAATCAAGCATGACGCGACACACACTGGCTTTTATATAGGCTAGATAAACACCCAACATACTGAACCCACAAACATGGCTATATATATTAAACTTTCCTAATACATAGAATATTACAGCCAATCAATTTGACTTTGTAACTAATTTTTATGTCTTAAGTCTTTTCCTAAATGAGACATTCATATAAACATTTTGAATGAATCAAAGAGTATAAAATAACTATTCAATTCTAGACATTGGGTACATCAGCTAATTAAAAGTTCATACTTCCAGATATACATGTATTTAAGAGAAAGAAAATACAAATTTAATTTAAACAATTCCCACTGAAGTCCATCAATGAATACATTACAATTATAAGCAGTAATTAAAACATTCTTCAAACAATATTTACTCTTATTCTTTTGGTATTATCTATATAGTACATTTTACAACACTGTCTTCATATTTTGGTTTCATAATATAAAAAAGATATTGAGCTGCTAAAAAAAAATTAACTGAAAAAAATCAATCTTTGCTGAATGAACTTAAACTGTAAAATCAGACTTAAGTGCATGAAGTTAAGTTTGGGAGGTATGAAAAATATAGTTGGTTTGATTAGATGGTTGGAAGAGTAAAGCTAAGATGATGGAGATCTTGCCTGTTGGAATTTATATTCTAGGTGTAATGGAAGCAATGTTATTCAAAACATATTCTGCCTTAGACCTCTACAGGTGTATTCAATATTGATCTTTTGCACAATTACTGTTGTTATTTTCACTCCAGTTTAAAAATAGATATGTACTTACAACACAGCTGTTTTTGCACAGTTCGTAGTTTCATAGCAGTCCTGTATGCAGAGTATCTGACTTCATTGTATTCACCTGAATGGAATATATAATTTACAAGAATTGCAATTGTAACTGTGTAAATGGCTAGGAAAATACAGGTATTTCACAATACACAAAATCTTTTTTTATGTGTAAAAAACAGCTAGTAAAATATGGACAATTAATCTTATCTTAATATTTGGAATGAATACTAACTGACTAGAGGTTAAATTTAAACCTGTATCTACCAAAAAGCAATTATTTGAGAAGTGTAAGAAAATATCTGTCCACACTAAATAATCAGTTCTTTAACAATTATACAACCCCCTCAATTAAACCTTAAAACAGATCTTTTCCTTCTAGAATTTGAATCTAATTATTTTAGAGTTCTCCAACTTCACACTTCAAGGAAAAAACAGTATCATATTCTCAACATTAACTTTTAGAATAATGCACTACTGAAATACAACAAAGTTCTTTACATTTAATATTTGTTTTATACTAACATTAATTAAATGTAAAAGCTTCATGAAAATAACTACTTTTCATAACATAAAATTATTTATTATAATATGACATTTCTCGTTTGTATTTAAATAAATACTTAAAAAGTCACATAAGCTTACCTAATGACTCCATTAACTCAATCATTTTTGGATGATCCCAGTGTGTTGTCTCACTTAGGTGACTAGATGAAGATAAGGAACTACTTAAATAATGCTGTTCTTTCATTCCATTATTGTATTTACTACAATTTATTTTAGTTTGCATATAAAATAGATAATCATTCATATTACCTTACCATTACAATTTGTTTACAAAAAAGTGACTTTTCTACTTTAAAATAGAATAACTTATTCTCTCCACATATTTTTCAAAGTCAGCACACAATTACTCTTTGTAACTTAACACTGTCTAAAGTTTAAACATATAATCACATACCTTTCATGTGTTTATAAGCACTTCAAAATTAAATTATAATCACAATTTGTGTGTTATGTTGTTGCACAAAATAGTCATTGAAATATGTTTTCTTACAAATATTCATAAGCTCAGTTATTTCTCACTTAAAAATAAAATTGTTCACCTTAACTACAAATAACTTGATTTTTTTCAGAATTCCATCATATAAATAGATTTTTATTTATTTGAACTCAAACTGAATTTCAATACTAACATCATAGCTGCACTGTAATTTTTGAAGACCTATACCTACATGGGTTACAATAATGTGTTTCAAGAGTATAAAGTGAGAAACTGTATAGTGAGAACGGGGTTATTATTAACAAGAATGCTGATGCAATACTTCAGAGATTTTCAAGTTAAACACAGTGACTGGGATTTTATGGGGTCGAATAGAGAAAAGGAAAGGTTTTGTGAAATAATTCAAGACATGTTTTTATATACCAAATAGTGTGAAACACAGAGGATATCTTTTTAGATTTATTGTTCACAACTAATAAAGACATTTTTGCAAGAGTTGAAATAAGGGGAACATGTGAGGAAAAATGATCACTGCATAATTAGGTTTTATGTTTTTCTACATGTTGATAAAAAAAAGAAAAATGTACATTTAGTTCCTAATTTTCAGAATGCCAATTTTGAGACCATGAGACAATTTAATTATCATTAGTGAACTGTGATAATGTATTAAATGGTAAGAGAGATTAGTAAATTTTTTTACAAATAAATTGCTTTTAATTCAAAATATAAACGTTCCTAAAATGTAGAAGAAGATAACAGGGATGAACAAACCAAATTAGCTTACTAAAGATATAAAGGAGAAAATCAAAGATAAATACCATAAGCTTATGGAGTTTCAATTGACATATAGCATGACAGCTTAACAGAACTATAGGAAAGCTGGAAATCTGGCTAAAAAAGGGTTCAGAGGAGGGCTAATAGGATTCCAGGGATGGAGGGTTATCTTTTAGGGCAAGGTTAAGATCTCTTACCTTATTATATCTTAAGAAAAGAAGGGTAAAAGTAATTTTACTGAAGTTGACAAGGTTACTTGGATAAAGTCCTTTTATTTTTGGTGCTGTATTTTGAAGACAATTGAACAAACAGGACACAAGTTTAAGGTTAGGAAAAGACAAGCAAGGTTCAAATTAAGACAATTTTATTTTCCCAACAGAATGGTTGGCTTATGAAATGAGTTACCTGTAGCAATAGTGGAAACCAGTTCCTTCTAGGAGTTTTAAGAGAAGAATCAACAATTTCTGAAAAACAAAGTGGGGGAAAAAATGTTTTCTTATCTCACTGGTGAATGTGCAAGGATGACCTTGAATGACCAAATGATTATTTGTCTATATGTTAAGGGTGTGGACTTACTTGATGTAGTAAGGCACTTTGTTTCCTGAAACAGCTCTTTCCCATGGCTCATCCACTGAAGCTGAAATTATTTCACACATAACTGTTAACAATATGTTTATATAATGTTTTCTCTTTGCCAGTTATATATTTTTTATTTACACTCACTGTAAGCAAACAATGCAAGTGTCAGTTACTTGTACGAACAAATTTCTGAAGTAATTTCCATTTTTCTTATATTTCAGTTTTATATTATGTGACTAAAATTTTGAAAGCTGATTGATAAACTGATAAATAATTTACATATGGATAAGTCAATTATATTCATTAATTCAAAATCGTAATAGGTGAGGTTTCAAAGTAGATATAATTTAATTTTTCACCACTTATCTGTAAATATTAAGAGCAGCAGACTAAGGTTTTAACTGTCATTTTCTATGTACGTTGATAAAGCTTCTATTTTTATGGCAGAGGACTTCTTGGTTGGTGTTTTATGAGTTTCTGAAGGCCATTGATAAAGTGCTTCACAAGAGATTACTTAGTTATTTAATGGTTTACAGAATTAGCAGAAAAGCTGAGTTAGTGGATGGAGATTAATGTAGAGGTAGAATGCAGAATGGTTATAAATGGGCATTTATTCAATTGAGAGAATGTGACTGTTGGAGCCCCTGAGGATTTTGATTTGGGGCATTTAATAATAGAAACAAATTGGGTAGTTTTGTGAAGTGTGGAATTACTACATTTGACGATGATAATACTTCTTAAGATGATATGAAGAGCTGTTTCCCCTACTCAAATCAACTTTTAACAGTATTAGAGTCTTGGCTTGAATATGAAGAATGTATTTGAGTATTGTGAAAAATTACATGTAAAGCATATGGCATTTTGAAAAGAACTTCATTAATTGCTGGGTTATAAGCTGCATAACTACTGTGGGATGAATAAGATTTTACATGTGACTGTTGAAAAAAAATCCTAAAGGCTACAACAGTTTTTAGATGAAGAATAACAAGTTAATAGAGTTCTTATCTTGTTTAGTAGGGACATTTTAAATCACAGGACAAAAACGTTATTGTAATCTTATGCAGCCTCACTTGGTGTGTTGCTTACAGTGTTTTTATAATAGAAAGGATATTAACATTTGGAAAGGGTATAGAGTACTAAAATGTTACCTCATTAATGTATTTAAAGATAAAACAAGAAGCTTATTGAGATTCAAAATTCTTCTCTGGAGAACAGAAGCATTAAAATTGACTTGATTCCCTGTTAAAAATTGGTCAATCTTCATATGAATCATATGTTTGAGTGGTGTAATTAAGACTTAAAATACACACTTAAACTTTAGGGTAATAGTTTTAAACTGTAGGATTTCAGATCGTAACTTATTCTTTGATAAACTGTTTTAGTTAAGTTATAATAAAACTTGTAGAATGATATGATATGTACCTGCTCCTTGTTTAAATTGTGGAGGGCAATATGTAATATAATTTTTTTTTCTGGAAATTTCATTCTTCTTTATTTTTTTTCTGAAACATCAAAGGTTTCACATACATTTTAGATAAGTACATTTCAAGTTTATGTATCATATAATATGTATAAAAATTTAAATTTGCATTTAGTAAGGGCTTGCCTTTGCATATGTCTACTCTGAAAACAGTTAACTACTTTTTTTTAAATTATGCATAGTAATGAAAACAACTAACAAAATTCATTAGTACCACGTTTTATAATTAAAATACTTGCACTCGACAACAGTTCTTAATAATTTTGTTGAATTAGATTATGAAATTAATTTTAAGTTGGTTTTCATTTGAAACTAAGAGTAACAATATATCTAACAGTGTTGACAGTGCAGTCCATAAAACATATCCGAAGGGGCCTGAACATAAAAAAAAAAAAAAAACGATAAGCGTGTTTTATCATGTTTTGCTATTAATAACAAATAGATTTCCAGTTGATGTAATTTTTATGTATTTTTGTATTCCATCTTAGGCTATCTACCTTTCTACTTATGTTAACATGAAATGCATTACTATGTTCGAACAGATGATATACCACCCATCTATTCACTTAAGCATGTTATGTTTACATAGCCTTTCGTACAATATCAGAAATCACGAGGCCGTCTTGAATACGACAAACACAACAATAGTCTAGGACTCTTGGCGATTCTAATATCAACTTCATGAATAACGACTGTAGGTGTGAACTATACTAAGTAAATGAATTCTAATTATTATCAATTCTGTTAAAGTAATTTACTAATAAGATTTTTTGGGTAAGAATTAAGAGCACAGCATTACTTAATTATTTCAATTTTAACATAGATCAATTATTTGTTTTAATTTTTATACTGTTTGAATTAAATCAACCATTATGATGATAATTTTTGACACGGTATGGCCTAGCTCTACTAATTGTACTACTACTAATAGAGCTAGGTATATGTCCCAACAGCCTATGGTATAATTCCACCATTCGTCTTTAAACTGGATACACAGCTAATCAAACATTGAAAGCATAAATAAGATATTTACACTCTAAACTACCCTGAACCACAATCAGCTTGTAAGTTGCAAATAATCTGAATTGACGGCGAATATTAATACCGTGTGAGGCTTAGTTTGCATTTATTGTTCGTACAAACTTTGTTTGAATCTAAGGAGTACCAACTTGCTCATGACATATTTAATTGCTATGTATTACCATTTAAAAAGTTTTGTGCCAAACTTTGATCTTTCAGGGAACCCTCTAGTTGTTTACGTCGGTCTTCTATGGCCAAGTGCAAGAGACGCCATCTAGTGTTCAATTCTTCAAGTCGATTAAGATTGGCGTGAGAAAGTAGAACATTGCACCCAGTTATGCGACCAGCAGCTTCATTTACTTCTTCTAAATGCTGATGTAAAGGTGCCACCCGCTCTTTGAAATTCTAGGACCAAGTACAGTAAAACATAGATATACTATCAAAAGAAGAAACAACGACCACTGATACTTAATTCAAATGAAGTAAAAAATTATGCTTACAACTTTATTTCTTTTCAGTTTAGTATACCTCCACTTAACAAATGTCTCACCTGTATCTCGTTTAAGTGTTCTTGCATTTGATCTAACACAAACTCGGAAATTGGAGGCCACTTGACTTTGGTTGCTTCTGCTGCTTGAAGATTGGAATTCATTTCTTCCATAGTTCTTTGAAGCATCTTCATTTTCTATAAGAATAAACTAAATAATATCAAATGACAGTTTTAGGTTTTAAAATATTTTGAGTTACATATAGCTATCCCTGAAATATAACTATATGGTACCTACAATTTGGAATGAGCCAGGCAAACAATAATAAATTATCATCACATGACTTATTCTTCCTTTACTGAACTCATTTTTCACAAATCAATGACATTGACATTTCTAATTGTATACAACTGCATAAATATATAATATTAATCAACGATCTAAAAATTGATTCAACATTTATTTCTTTAGTCAAAATGTGTCAAGTGATGTCTCAAAGATTTTTATAATACACATTTTATTTTATTGCTCGTTTTCAATTATCATTGAGAGGTTTTAAAGTGATTTTAAGAAAACTCCTAAAAATTTTAACTCACAATAAGTTTATATTGAGATTGGTTAAGGTCATAGTTCTCAACTTGTGATTCGCGGACACCTAAGGATTTGCAAACATTCTAATGGGAGTATTCACGACGGTAAACATTGAGTTCCGCATTATAGTTAAAAAGAAAAAGAATCGATGCTATATTCAATTCAATGAAAGAACGTTATTTTTTAGAAAGTTTTATTAACTTAAATACTTATTTATTCTGTTTATTTTAGAGGAAACCACATTTGGCTATCTACTGTGTCCACCGTGAGGAACAGAACCCTGGATTTTAACATTGTAAGTCAGTAAACTTACTGCTGTTCCACCGAGGGATCTTGTTTATGTCAGTATCGCGTTTATACACTGTGGGATCAGCTGTCGCAGACTGTCCTTTCTGAGTATAGGGGTTCGCGAGATTGATTCATGAGTAAAAAAAGGCTTAGAACCACAAATTTAAAGTTGTCAAATATTTTGTTAATGTACATCTGAAAAAGTGTATAAGTACTTCTGTGAAAATAATAATAAATAATTACTTTCAAAGTAAGTTTGATCAGTTCTGAAAAACAAAACAAAAAGTCAAGTATTACAAAAAATATCATAAACGGACTAATGGATACAGTAAATAGGTTTCGAAACGATTATACAAAAATTAAAATCAATTTATAATAAAACCCACAGTCGACAATTTTCTGTTTAATCGTGAACAGAAAAGAAAAAAATTATATTTATATCACTTTGCAGTTTGAAAACTAATTGGGATTTTCAGCATGAACTGCACTTTATACGTCATTGTACAAACGGCCAGGCTAGAGATAGTTAAAAGTCAGATTTAGCTGTCTATGAGTTTAAACTACTGGGAGGGTAGTCAGCCAGCAGTACTCGTTGACACAAGGATTTTGTCTGGCTATTTGAACTGAATAATAGTGTTTAGAGTTACTTTATTATATGCCCACAAATAAATGTGCGGAGCATGTTCAGTGAATTCTTGACTCGAGCCCTGAACCTTCGACCAGCAGTCCCTCATATTAACATTTAGGCCACGCTCGAACCTAATTGTAAAATTAAAATAAATAAGGTTAATGTTGGTAATAAAGAAAAATATTATTATGAGGTAAAAACTGTAGTTTGATATAAAGTTAGCTCTTATCTAGCTAGCTATGAATTGGTGATAGAGATGGCCGCCCATTGGAGCTTTATATGGCCTTCGGTGTGGAAAATGTCTAGGTATAGTTTTAAGATATACATACATGCTTTTATGCTTGTTTTCATTCTGAAAAAGTGCTTAAGACCTTTAAAGCCAAATTTAGGACTCAGATTGCCTTCATCTCTCTGTATTATGAGTTGAAAAATGATAACATATAATCTTATACCATGTAAGAAAATTATACAATGACCAGCTTATTTATTAGACTACACTTGACCATTACAAATATCCCTAAAGACCAATAAGTACTAGGCTGAAACGAAATTATATTAAAAAAGTGATTGTCAAAATACTTCATTTTTAGTAGGTAATTCAGTTTCGTGAAAGAGTAAAGAAATAGGTAGAATTATATACGGACTTTTCTCTACGTTTTGGAACACTTTCATTAACCACTCCCCAAAAAACGTACATCACATATAATAGTTAAACGAACCGCCTAAACGTCACGTTAGTGTAGCCTATATAATATAAAGTTTAGTACACTCTAATCCCTTATAGTGATGGTACACGATGAAACACACATTCGGCATATAATGCTGTTTGAATACAAGAAGGGGGAAAAACGCCTCTGTAGCCACAAAGAATATCAAAGAGGTTTATGGAAATATTTTGAACGTTCGTAAGTGTCAAAGATGGTTCAGCAAATTTCGTTCAGGTGACTTTAGCCTTAAAAACTGTGGTGGCAGCGGCCGACATGTTGGAATTGATGCTCTGTAAACGCTTGTTGAGTCTAACCCAAGGCAACACACTCGTGAAATTGCATGTCTCTCATGAAACAATACATAAACATCTAAGGAATATGGGAAAACTCCTTAATTAAAGAAGGTATTTGGGTGCCTCACGAACTCTTCGATGATCATCGTTTCCAACGTGTGAACGTTGTTTCGTCTCTTCTGGCCCGTAATGCGCGTGAATCATTTTTGGGTAGAATTGCCACCGGTGATAAAAATGGATTCTCTATGCGAATATTAAAACAGAACCCGTACAAGTCACCACTCGAAACTCACATTTATCAATAGTCAATCCGCCTTTACTCAACCAGCACACTCAAACAAGAATAGCAAAAAGACATAAAAGCATCCAGACCGACATCCCCAGTAAAGTACAGCCACGACAGACGAATTACCCGTTCAACAAGACCGTTTCAGTCGCCTCTCATCCACAAGCACGGGTTTTCGAACGACTTTTGGAATTTTCCAACGACAGCCGCCACGCACTTTGCTTCAACGACTAATATGCCCTTGTCTATTCCAGCCTGACAACATCCTTTTAACCTGCCAGTTTATTTTAAGTGCATTTAAACACATCTTAAAGTTACTGAACTTGTTTATTGCCTTACATGCTTCCTAACCCTGATTTTTTACATTACAGACCTACCTCACCAATACAGCCTTTTCTCCATTACAGATCTATTCGGGCTTGGCCAAAGCATTCTATTTTTTTCACCCCACCCTCCCACAGCTAATCCTTGGGCATTGGATTTATTATTTCTTAAGAAGGCTTCACTCCATGCTAGCTACATCCCAGTACCAGTAAAATACTTAAAATAGCCAATTTAAACAACTATAAGCGCTTTTTCTTTCACGTTGGCACGAGTGGGGCGAATAGAGATCCGAAGATTTCTGAACACCCTTAGTTTTTTATAATAAACCTAAATACCTGCCAAGATTGGATTTTGATTCTGGTTGAAAGTTATCGCTAGTACTGTTTATTCTTTTTTTCTATACTCTGATGGATGTAGCATAGCATGAGTAATTTTTGTTATTGACGTAGACTTTTGATTATTAGTTGTCAATTATAATACAGTATTGAAAACAGTAAATCTGAGAAAGTCCCCATGCATGAACTGTCTAAACAACTAAAACTTCCCATGCATGAACCGTCCAAGAAACTACATGGTATTTGTACTGCTGCTGATTACCAGCGTTAAGTAAATTGTGTAAGTTGAAGACAAAATATAAATATATGTTTGACAGAACGGTTTCTTGATATTGTGCGCAGCCCAAAGTCACGTTACCCTACAAGCATAAGTGTGCTGGGAGAGGGGGGGGGGAGGCAGCCTCCCACTAGCTTGCAATACATAGGCCAAGCTTAGGAGCAGAAAATATGGTAATTGGGGCAGTTTTTACTTTCATTCGGTAAAAAAACTGGTAGCAGAAGTTTCTTACTCATAACTTCATTCGGGCAAAAATTGTACAGCCTCCCCCCCCTCTGAAAAAATCCCCCATACACCTATGCCTACAAATTATACACTTTTAAAGAGAATGGTTTTTCTGTAATGATGTATGTTTAACCGCCGGCGAAAATATAATGACGTATCCTGTCACGTGATATCGCAAAATAATACAGAACTAGACAAACAGACACACACAACTCTCTATTCTTAGAGGAGTTGTAAACACTAAGCGATTTTGTCAAGACGCAAGTGTTAGTAATTACTCTTAGAGGAAAACGTACTTAAAGCTGAAATAGTCGACATTTCTTATCAAGGAAATTAAAAACTTCATGAAGGAACCCCAACTGTATGGTCAAATACTATTATGTTTGATATTAACCTTCGAAACTATTGAAAAGTCCGTTACGCAATAATTTGAATATATATATATATATATACTAAGTGATACACACACATATATTGACCACCTTCGAAAATACTAAATGATATCCCAAGAACATCCAACAGAAAGTGTTGTTGTTGTTGTTGTTAAACACAAAGCTACACAAAGGGATATCTGTGCTCTGCCCACCACGGGTATCGAAACCCGGTTTCTAGCAGTGTTAGTCCGTATACATACCACTGTGCTACTGTGAATCACAGTAAACTACTTTCAATAAATTCTATACAGTATTGTTAATGAAAGCGTTTTTGAAAATTTCACGATGTTTTTTTCTCTAATAGTGTTTACACCGTGTATTTGTCACAATAAGTATAATTACGCTAAAACATTATGCTAATTGTAAACTGTAACACAGTTAGGATAGCGGACAAAGTTGAGAAAATGAGATTAAATATGAGAAAGCATTTTTACACACAGATGATGATATACAGATTTTATGTGTTTAAACTTCATATACATGAGGTACAGTATCGGTCAGGAGATTCGCGTGTGATTTGTTTTGATCACCACAAATGTAACATGAAACTAGATTGGAAGGTTCAATTATTATTTGAAAGTAATTTGTGGAAAGATTCTATTAAAGTAAAAAAAAGTAGTTTTTTCACGCAAAAACTTTATAAGAAGATGAAAAGTATGAAGTGATATATGAAACTATATATGTGGATATGTAGGAATCCAGAAGAAAAAGTTCAGTAACTGAAATTAGGTTAATATACAATAAACCGAATACAACTGTAATTGGTTAATACAAAATAACCCGACTACACGCTACAATTAAAATATGAAAGTGACCTGATGTTTTATAAATAGGCTTAATTTTTGGAAGGGCTACATGCTTTAATTAATGAACATTCTTTAATGTCTAAAATATAATCTGCAATAAATGGTAAGACTTTTTCTAGATTTAAATAAGCTTATGAACGTTATGTACGAGCAGGACCCAATATTTAAATCTATGCCTGATAATTAAGGCTACGATATATATATATATATACTGAATCACATATCTTGTGTTTAGTTCCTATATACAATCTAATTTTATAACTTTAAATTTTGTTTACATGTATGACAAAAAAGAGAGAAATGAGTTAGAAATGTCAAGCAAGCATATGGTTAAATCTTATGTTAGTCACTAATGTTTTGCTTTACAGAATATTCACCATAGTTATTGAAAATTAAAAGCGAATAGAGACTTTATTTTTTTGGTAAGAATCCGCCTACAGAAGCGCTAGGCATTTAATGTGAGATTTCCAGTAGAAAATCATCTAAGGTCGTTCTTTTAAGATACTAAACCTTTATATATATAACATCATCATTATCAACTGATAGTTTAGTTACATATTTGAGAGAGCTGTGGATATATGTGTTTCGAGTTTTCCCCTGTACATCTTTCATTCATTTGGGTTGGTCTTCAGTGTGTAAATACTGTTTTATTATTATTATTCCAGAATGTTCTAGACATATATAAGCAAAAGGCACTTACTGTTAACACATCGTCTATCCATTTATGGCGCTGATCAGTATGGGCCAAGAGAGCGTTCCACTTATCCGAAAGCTTCTTAACCTCTCTCCGGATGCTGCGCGCAATTTCCCTTGCTTGTTCCTCTGCACTACGGTATCCCCTACTTTCAGTCTCGTAATCTTTGGCTAGAAAATATATAATACAAACACAGAGGTGCTGCTGATGTCAAACATAAGTTCACTACCGAATATATATATATACTGATATGTTATAAATATTGGACAACGTGGTCCTGTTAGGCGGTTCGGAAAGAAATGGACCGGCCAGCAGTGTGGCAACACACTAAAAAGGTTTATTTACACGAATAAAAACCAGAAGATTGTTGGTAATTTAAGATAACTGGCTAGGCTAGTAATGTTGAGTTTATGTAAATGAGAAAATAGAAGCAAAAAAGAAAGATAAATGAGCTTGATTTTGTTCTGGTAAAAGAAAGATCAGATAACCAACATTATTATTTTTTTATATTGTCTTTCGTGAAAAAAAAGTAAGAAATTAAGATGACTAATTAGATTAGTGTGTATATATTGAATTGGAATTTTTGTTTTAAAAATGTAAGTAAGGACAAGTTCGAAATAAATTTTGTACAAAAGAGAAGCCGTTGGTAAAGTGTTGTTTTTTTTTCATTATAATTATGCCCGTTTTGGATATTCTAAAATTATCATAATTATGTTAGCGTAGTTTGTCGATACGACATGATTCATTTGACCTTTCAGTAAAAGTTCATTGATTTCAAAATAAAATTTCAGCTATTAACGCAGCAATTTATAACAAGTCAAACAACGACAAAAATAAAATTGTTGATTTGCTGGAATTGCAGAACGATTTTAAAATATTCTAACAACAAGAAATATTAATAACTTTTTATTAATATATTGGTATTTATTAATGCATTCAAGGTGATTTTATTAAGTAGATTCATATCAATGGAAGGGTAACTTTTTATAGTTATAATGAGACCAGTTTTACAAGATCATTGGATTTACATACCACGTGTAGAAGCTCGAAACTTTAGTTATTATTATTATCATTATTATTGAGCACGGAGCAGGTAGTATTGCCTAAAAGATGGGTAACCTAATTTTCGAATCTTTTGTTGTTCCAAAATTACAATTGTATGCATAGTAACTGTAGAAGATCGAACATTTATATTTGCTTATTTGTCTTATATTTGTCACGTTTTTTAATAAGTTTGACACCTTGTAATTCCGATACATTAAATCCCTAACTTTATTTAATATTCTTCACGTGAGGTCAGCCAGATTAACATTGCAGCAGTAAAAATTGATCAAAGACGCAAGATAAAATTCTTGAGCGTCGACATAAAGGATCAACATTTGGTTTCTGTGAAACAATGAAAACTAATACCTGAGCAATTTAAAGATTTCCGTATAGAGAGCTAAGTACGTTATATTAAGCCCCTCAGTGGCACAGCGGTATGTCTGCGGACTTTCTTCGCTAGAAACCGGGTTTCGGTACCCGTGGTGGGCAGAGCACAGACAGCCCTTTGTGTAGCTTTGTTCTTATCTACAAAGAAACGTTATATTAAAACAATCTTGAATATACATATCAGCAAGTTACGTGATAACCACAGTAGATGTAAAGTCGTGTTGGAATAAGATGTGTCAGAACCACATTTTGATATTGTTTGGTGTTACGTAGGTACTGTGATGCCACGGAAAATTGGTCGATTTTGGAAAAGGTACGTAACAGCCTTTTACGACATAAAATATTCATACTCTCAAATCATAAAGATGTATTGATATCGGGGATTTAGACTTTCCAAGAAGGTAATATCGCTTGTAATTAATGGTATTGGAAAACAAAGGAATATTGATCAAGTTGGGGCACCAGGATCATCCAGAAAGAGACCTGAAACAAGTCGTAACACAGTCGTGGTAAGCATATTGCGGCGTCTTGTAACACAAGAGAATCCACGAACACATAGGTAAATGACAAAAGCTGTCCACGTATCCTATACAGCAGTACGAAACACAATCAAGAAGTATCTCAGTTTGGAAAAGCGAAACGTCTACCAGAAGAGTTGCTATAATCTTTAATAATAATTATTATTAATTATGAGTGATAGGCAAACTACGAAAGCATCTATGACCATCTGTCTTAGGCTATTAGTTGGATATCCTCGGTGTTAGCAGTGTTTTCACCCGTTATCCCAAAAATACCTGACAAGGTTGGACCTGCTCAGTGAATTCATAAGTAACGAAACAGAACTGTCACATGTAAAACTTCACGTACCATGCCTATCACATTTGTTCAATAAAGTTATTACCGTTTAAGGAACTTAATGTTATACATTAAATCTATCTGACAATAAAAATAACTAATATTGAATTAACTCAATTTAATGCTGTAAATTACATAAACACATGTGAAGTTAGTCTTATTTAGCATCTGGCAAGTTCTAGCTACATGTCCATAGAACAATAGCACAGTCTGTGTGCTAAGGCGAGTCTGCCCAATAGTCAGTCTTGAAAAGGAGCATATGAGAAAAGCAACCAAGGGTGGCCAGTTCTTAAAAGCAGAAAGATAATTTAGAAAAGAATAGAATTTGGGGGAGGTTAGAAAGATAACAGATACAGTTTTCAATCTTTTTGGTATAAATGCTTAGACTTGTATTGCAGTATCTAAGGTGATGATCAAGAAAGTTATTTATATTCTGTATTGACTGTGTTAATTATACTGTGCAAACAACTACACCGTGAAAACAACTGACTCAACATAAGTTACGTTAGTGTTGAGAAAAATGATGATTTTGAAAGGTAGAACACTTGAGTTTTTGTTAGATTATGTGAAGCTAGAATAAAGAAAGGTATAGATAATCCGCAACCATTGTGCTAATTTGTTAAATAATGCTCCCTCCCCTGTGATTCAGCGCTAAGTATTTGAGCTTATTACGTTAAAGATCGGATTTATATACTCGCAGTTGGTTGAGCATAGGTAGTCCATTTTGTAGCTTTGTGCTTTACAAAAACAACCATAACACGATATCCTTATTGAAGGTTCTATGAAAAGTGGTGAAATTGTCAGTGTTATATATTTCAGTTAAAAATAAATTGTGCTTACCACAAAACATTTCGTCTGCGATTTGTTGAAAGACAAATTACCAAACAAAAGTTTATATATAAGTATGTTAGCTCTCTCTATAAAACTTTTTTAAACTACAACCAGTTCTAGCAAATCTAATAAGTTGTAATAGGTATACGTTTACACAAGTTGCTGCACGACGTATTTATACAACCGTTGCATATCTCACGCTGCTAGATAATGAATCGGGTATTCATGCTATTCCATATAAAAGCCTATTCGTCAAATCGTCAGACGCAGCACTTATAGATTTCTAAGAGAACGGATTGTTGAAGTGGGCGCTAGGAAACGGTCGTTCTCATAGATTCATAGATGGCTCATGGAAAGTATGCAGGAAGCATTGGTTTCCTTTTGACGTGATAGCCTTGGGACGAAAGTTTTGGAAATGGAAACTACACTGCAGGACTATTATTAAGATGCACGGCCGTCAAATAGAGCATGATCGAACATAGAGACGTGGACTGTAGTGCGAGGTAAGTTTCCTTGAAATAAGCGATCGGCTTTTGATAGATGTATTTATTTTGTAAGTTCAGTGATTCATGGTTCACCAACTGTTATTGCAAAAATACGTGTTCCATACTTTAAGGCCGTTCGTCAGCCATAATAGAATGACGGTGATATTCGATCAGTCAAGAGTTAGCAGTGACTGCAGATGACTAACTGCTTTCCTTCTAGTCTGCGAGTTTAAAATTAGGGACTGCTACGCACATGTTCCACATATGTTGGGTTTCGCGAAATTCTGAAACAAACATGCAAACCTTAACGTAAATCATGGGTGTGTTACATTTTTCACAGAGAAACTTACAACCCTCTTCGTCAGATTGATTAAACGTTCACCATACGTATCTAACGCACTGGGAAGTATTGGTGAAATATTTTCGAATTTCAGCTTACCAACTTGATCTATTTAACGCAGAAAACTTACATGAAGCTTACATAAATCAATGATTTATTAACCAGTGTTAATATTAAAATCTACCTTCTGAGTCACTGGTGTCTGAAAGCGGTGGTTCCTTAGTAATGTAGTGTCTTCCCGCCAGAAGGCTACTCTCGATCACAGGGCGTTTGTCGTCTAGCTGTCTGCGGAACGCACGATGTTCGTCTTGTTGTTTAAGAATACTAGTGACGTCGCCACCAAGCGCAGGTTGGGCGGCAAGTTCGGTTTCTTTTTTTATAACCCATTCAGTAAGTTCTCGTAAGGAAAGGAGTAATTGATTCCACTGCTCTGCATTTTTCTCGAGACGATTTCTAAACCAAAAATATTCAGGTGTATGTATCAGTATTGCGAGACATTTTCTTGCCATTTTTTTTTTTCGTTAGTAACGTTTACACAATATGCGTTATTCAAAAGCATGATACATATAAAGCAAGTACGACTACTAAAGCGTTTAAAACACAATTAAAGACATTTGATAACAAGGTAGTTTTTGGAAGGTAAATAAGACCACTTAACAAGGAAAGTTCGTTTCCGAAAACATTCGTGTATCTTTATTTATATTTTTTACAAGACATTCTTCATGCGATTACTTTCTAAGTAACATAAAAGGTGCTAATGATTAATGTTACATCCAAAATAAACAGGAGCAAAATCTGTGAATTATAAACTTTTTAGGGCCAGAACTTTAAATAAATCTAAATTGTTCAATAGAAATTTCGTAAGAGGGTACTGCGGAGTTGATGTGACATGTTATCTCAGTTGAAGCCGTAGAAACACTGTTTAAACAACGGTTTGGAATTGGAAGGTTATGATAGTGCTTTGCAACGAGCAATTATTTCTAATAAATTTCAATTGTTCAATAGAAATTCCGTAAGAGGGCACTGCGGAGTTAATGTGACATGTTTTTTTTCAGTTGAAGCCATAGAAACACTGTTTAAACATCGGTTTGGAATTGAAAAGTTATGATAGAGCTTTGCAACAAGCAGTTATTTCACGAAATAAAACAACTGAAAAAAACTGATCAAACTTTAGCGTGGCAACCAGAAAACGGTTGTTTTGAATATATAAATAGTTTTTAAGCATAAAAGGTTTTTATTGATTAGATTGACGATAATAAATCTCAACCCGCAAATAAAAAGTTTTTACATGAATTGACTGGAATTATAAGGTTATAAGTAACACAATGAATTTGTCTATACGAAAACGCTGAACTGTTGGACTTGTCGCGATTTGAGACCAAAGAATATTAGTAAAGGTTTAAGGTATCATTTATTAAAGTAAAAACTAATGCTGGTATAACAGTCCAATTAAACATGCCCATTTATAGTTCAGCGGTAAGTTAGAGGGTCTATAACGCTAAATCTCCCAGTAAGCAAAGTGTGGATAGTCCATTGTTGCCTTGCAGATAAAAACAAACAAAACTGTAATAAAACCCAAGTGGTTAAAAATAAATAAATATAGAAATGTAACTTATCTTTACTTCAGTAACTCGGTTTCTAAATACTTCATAACTTCTGAAAACACTAATATCAATTACACGTTTATACTGAAATGAGTCAGCGATTTTACACAACCCGACTCATAATCATTAGTTTATCTTAGATTAAATACCATGGTCTACATAACGTATATTTATCTTACCTTGCAATGCATGATTCACATAACTTTTTTTTTTTTTCAATTACAAATGGAGGTTCATATAACCCTTATTTTAGTTTAGATTGCACTGTGGTCCACGTATTCTGTATTTTATGTTAGATTACAAAGTGTAGTTCAAATAACCCTCATTTCATTTTATACTGAACAGTGTAGTTTGCATGATTTTTATTTCACTTCTTCCCAGCGGCTCAGCGGTGTGTCTGGGGGCACACATCGCTAAAAGCAGGGTTTCGATACTCGTGGTGGGCACAGCATAGATAGCCCATTGCGTACCTTTGTGCTCAACAGCAAATAAATAAAAATCTTATTTTATATTATGTATTACATATTACCGTCCACATAGCCTTAATTTGTATCTTAGCTTAAACAGTATGGTCCATATAAGTATCATTATATTTCAGTTTAACAACGTGACCCATCACACAAGTTAATTCCAGCGTTCCATCATTTCTTATTCTGAAACTCCGAGATGGCTATTCTAAACAACAAACAAACATAATATTTAAGTTATCATAAGCACTGTAGCAATAGGATGTATCATTCACATCAGAAATACCCTAAATAGTAGGTTATTTGAGGGAAACGTAGAACTAGGATTTATTTTAGGAGGAGTGGGGGGGGGGTCATTTCAATCCAACAATTTAAAAAAAATATGTTATTGTTCATAGAAAATAACTTAATATTTTTATTATCGATAAAAATTATAGTTTTAAAAGTTATTATATTATATAATATGATATTTTTTATTTTTGCCTTATTTTTTAAAATTATTCATAAATTTACCTCAATTTATTTATTTTATCTTATTATATAAAATATAGTTTAGATATATATATTCATAACATATATTACCTGGAAAATCTCAAGCACAATAATATGATATATCAGTTCTACAATAAGTTTGAGTAGCCTAAGAGTTGGCGGTGGGTGGTGATGACTAGCTGCCTTCCCTCTATTCTTACACTGCTAAGTTAGGGACGGCTAGCGCAGATAGCCCTCGTGTAGCTTTGCGCGAAATTCAAAACAAACAAAAAACAGAGAGCCTCTTGCCCCAGTTGGGTCAGATGTAAGTCTGCGGACTTATAATGCTAAAGATAGGGTTTAGATACAAGTGGTGGCCACAATACCGATAGCCTATTATATAGTTTTGTGTTTAACTACAAATCAATGGCGAGCTTCTGTATTTTTGACAAGAAAACGACAGGATATTTCTTATTTTAAATAATATTCGATCATTATTTTAAGAAATAAAATAAATCAAAATTAATTGAGCTTTACGATATAGCTATAATAGTAGAAAAACGAGAAGCCATTATTTACATCATTATTACTCTTTAAATGTGTAGGTTAGATTCGTGTTCCAACCAGAATACTCGCAGTTGAAACATTGAAACAAAGCTGTAAATGTCTTCCGTGTGTATTATAATGGTTATTGAGCGAATGAAAAAATAAATCCATTTCTCATTGTTTTAAAGTAGTCCAGATTAAAGATATTTATTCAGTTACCTAAATATGATTTTTCTTAATATATATATATATATTGTACAGATTTTAAGAGTCGTGCACCTTTGGCGATTTACTTACCGATACCCAAGGACACATTTGAGATGTTATAAGCCACAACAACAACGACTCACGTAGTTTCAGAATAACTACTAGAGAACAGTTATAAGAAACATCGTACATAGCAACAGACAGACAGAGAGTATTTTGAGAGCAAAATAACAATCACTCGAGTACTTTGTATTACAGACTAAGTCGGTTCTAAGATGTATTAAAAACGCTCAACAACCATTACCTACCACTTACACGTTATTTTATAGAAAATTTTGAGTGTTTAATAATACTAAAATAATAAATGAGTAACACACAACGTTAAATTCCATACACCATTAAAAACACTTCTAAACTGTGGACTCCACATATTTCGACGTTTACCACGTCCTCAACAGAAGTGAACTTGCAAGACATAAGTGTCATATTTATTTCATCTTAACTAGATCATGTGACCTGTGTGTAAGTTTACATTTCTGTATAAATCTCAGCGGAGGTCCCGCCATTTAATAATTTACGATATTTCTTGAAACTTTATTATTTCTAAAGATTTGCGGATGATATTGGTACTAATTCCCTCGCCCGGCATGGCCAGGTGGTTAAGGCACTCGACTCGCAGTCCGAGG